TTCACAGGGAAAATGGGAAAAGTGTTGGAGGAGAAATTAATTTGAATAACACAAACAAACCACAACTGGCTCAGGAAGTCCCTCAGCTCTCAGGGAGCCGCAAGAGTGAGGGTGCTCTACAAAGGCGCGTAAGTCAGGAGCCAAGAGTTATCCCAGCACATGGGGCAGAGACGTCACCAGCCGGGCCACAACTCCACTGTACCCAAGCAGCTTGGTGGCAGTGACAGGGTCTCTCAACAGTCCAGCAATCATTAAACCAACAGGCCTTACTGGCCCTGACCAGCCCCACCTGGGACCTCCACCCATACCCACTGCTCATGGGTGCAGGGCCTCCATTTACGCTTGGGCCAGGGTCTTCAGTTTCTGCGTGAGCTGTGTTGTAGGCATACCTCTTTCTAGTCCTGCCCTTGAGCTGTTTGGCTGTCTTGGTTTGAACCTGGGCCTGACATGTTACCTTGTTTCTGCCTGATGGTCACTGAACTTTTGATAGAACCTTCTTTTGACATCACCTCTACTCTAGTTGCCCAGTTCAAGAGCTGTGGGATTGCATCTTCTCAGTGAGATCATTGCTCAGCCTTCGTTGTGGCCATCCTTGGCCCCTGGCTTGTTCTCTGTTGTGGAAGGGGCTTGTTCTGCTGTCCCCTGGCAGTTAGCTCAGGCCTTCTCAGGAAGAAGAAGGAGCCTGGCTCCTCAGACTAAGCCAGGGCTTGCCCCCAAAGCCTCCTTGCAGCTATCTGTCGTAAGACTTGACCCCATGGCCACCCTGCAGTTTCTATTTCGACCCCAAAGCCTGCAGGGAGCTGTGATCGGTATGCAGAGGCAGATCTGTAGGATTCTCCAACCTCCTCTGCACCAAAAGTGACACCCCCTGCCCACCAACTCCTTTGGTGCCTTTTGGGAGCACCCAGGCTTTGTTATGCTCCAAATCAGCAGCCCTCAAGGAGCATCTCAAGGACAGTCTGGTACGTGGGTTGATCTGCCCCTCTACCTCCACTGCCAATGCTCCATGGTTTTTGTCAAAAAGAAATATGGGAGTTTCTGGCCCTTCACAGCAGCCTGCCAGCTTAAGGTGGCTTCAGCCTACCTGGGATCCACACGCCAGCAGTTGGGGTCCACCAGGTACCCCAGGAACTCCATCTTGTGCTGTTAAAAAGAGCAAATCTCTGGGGTTTGACATGGAGTCAGCAACTGCTGCAAGTGACTCAGGACTTCCCCGGCATAGTCTGTGTGCCTGTTGAGCACTGCAGAACATGAAAACATCAAGAATACCACTGCACAATTATCGGGCAGGCTGTGTAGCACATCATTTACAAAACGATGGAAGTTGGTCAGAGCAAAGAAGAGACCAACTGGTATCACAAGATCCTCATAGTGTATGTATCTAGTTCAGAAAGCAGTTTTCCGCTCATTCCCTTCTAGCATGTAGGGAGTGCGGAGTTTCTTAGAATTTGCCAACTTCTTTTGATGATTCGTAACAGGGTTTTCCAGTATCATGGCTCCTGTAACAGCATCTACTTAGAAGGGGCCTCACTTTCTATGGCCATAAGAAGCACACACAGCTGCTGAGGAACTGAAGCCTCACCACAGCCCGCCTCACAGTCCCACCCAGGCCTTGGCTGGCATTTCATTGTGGAAGCAGATGCCTCTGGGCCATAGGGGCCAGGATCTGGCCCAAAACAGGAGCCATGACGCTGTGTCTTTTTCTCTAGGCAGCTCACTCCCACTGGGAGGAATTATGACATCTGGGACAAGCAGCACCTGAAAATCAAAGCTGCCTCTGAGAAGCGGTAGCACAGTCTTGAGGTACCAGAAGAATGAACAGTGGTGCTGACCTACCACCAAAACCTGGAATACAACTGCAGGATGAGCGGCTTCTCTCCTCACCTGGTCTGCCAGATTTCCCTCTCTCCATACTTTGTTAACTGTCCATTTATCACTAATTTTGGTTTCTAACTAACTCAAGCGTCTGTCAGCCACACCAGCTGCCCCACGTGTACCTGCACCAAATGACTGTCAGAGCAGGCAATTTGTTGGTGCAACTGCCAACACACTTGCCATTTCTACCACAACAAAGCAATCCCCTTTTCTCTCTCTGTGTTCTCATTCTTGGGATGAGGAGTGAGGTGGATGGTGCCCATGTCCATGGGCTCCTCCTCTGAGGACAGTATGGAAGCATGGTGGAGCTCCTCCAGAGGTCTGCATATGTTCTTCCTGGCAGAGCCAGGTGCTTCTCCAGTGCTAGGCCAGTCTGACAGGCTGCCCCAGGCTCTAGGGTAGGTCAGTCCTAGCTGTCTCATCTTGAGGGCCACAGACAGCCCTAGACTTTAGGGAGCCATCAGGGCTTGCTCTTCACACCCAGTTTCCAGAGTCAACTCCATGAACTGGATTGTGTAGTTAGTGGCCAACTACTTCCCTGATGGAGCTCCAGCAAGACAGCCTTGGCCACGGCACAGTTGTGGTCCCCCCAAAACTGCTTCAAATCAGTTAAATCATCAGGTTTTGGAGCACAGGGCCATTGTCTTCCATGTGGTCACAATCCACTCTCAGGTTGCCCTGAGAGCTGGGAGAATATTACTGCTGAGCATCTAATGTCCCTTGGGATATACAGTCCCTGGATAGGCTGTAAAGATTAGCCACATGTAACGAGCAAATCCTGATACCATTGCCCAGTCCGCACTGAATGGTTCTGGAAGATCACAGAACCATAAAATGGTTTGGGTTGGAAGGGACCTTTAAAGATCATCTAGTCCAACCCTCCTGCCATGGGCAGGGACATCTTTCACTAGATCAGGTTGCTCAAGATGGAGTAAGAGATCTTGAAGCAGCCTAAAGAGCTGTGCCATGCCTCTACATGCTGGCCATAGACTCCTGCAGGAATTTGAGGTTAACCTGCAGCTGACGGGGAGCCTGAAGGCCAGGCTCAACGATAGTCAGCTCAGGGCTTGAGATGGCCCAAGTTGTCAGCCAGCAGCAAGACTGGGGCTGCTCTGCAAGGGATGACAGTCAAAAGCTGAAGGAGATCACATCACAGGACAGTAATCTCACCAACAAGGGCACAGTACCAGGGCATGGCAGCCTGGTGACAGTAACAGATTCTGTTGACAGTCCCAGTGCTCACCAGGTAAATGCGAGATGGCAGGTCAAGTCCGAATGCAATCCATGAAATCCAGTCAACAGGAGCTGCAGGGGACAGGGTAGGCACACGCCTGCCAGCAACACAGCTCAGGAAAGGGCTGGGGGCCAAGGTTTGAGCATAAATGGAGCTACCCCTGCAGCTATGCTGGCAAGCGTGCACTGGCGTGTACCTTAGGCTCCAGGTTAACTCCAGTGCAACCTGGAGAGGAGAATGTAACATAAAATAAGCAATCACAGGAATTGGCTCCAACCATCTTGCACCTTCTATAACTGGAGCTTAAAACCCAAACATGTCTTGAAGGTGTGACCATCAATGACCATAGATTATTTTCACACTCTCTCTCCAGGCCCTTCAGTCACTCATTGCTACACCCATCCTGCAAAAGTTGCACAAAGATTTAGGAAAATTTTTACGGGGTGGGGAAAGAGCACAAATGCAAGAATAGCCAAGAGAGATGACAGATTCAGGCTTGCCAGTTTTTCTGACATGAAAAGAAATGTTGGAAATAGGGCCTGTGAGACCACCTGCTCCCAGTCCATAGTGAACAAGCATTATAGCATCCCAACTTCCTGACTAAAGACAAGGATAGGCTTTGTTCGTGCATTTTTGTTTGTTTTACCTTAAATAAAAGCCTTATACTGAGACCTGCGTTGCAGTCCTAAGCAACAGAAAGACTGGTCCCTCTATTGTGAAGTACTAAATGTGAAAATGCCCGAAAGTATCATAAATACAAATTGCAGAATTCAGACTACAAAATTGTATTTTACAGGTGAAAGTGCATTTCAAAGAATGAGGAAATTGTACAGTACTCAATCCATTTTCAGACTTAAAATTCAACTGTATGGATTGTGTGTTACTGGAAACCTAAGAGAACAACCGACTAATAAAGATGTGCTAAAAAGAGAGGTAGATAAAAAAATCAGATATTCCTTGTCCAAAACCAGGTATTACACTTGGGAAAAAAAGTCAAATTACTGTCACATATGCGGTCACTGCATTAGGAGAAAAGTATCCCCCAACTAAACTATTCAGAAAAGTTATACCAAAGTTACCACTAAACCAGGCAAAATAAAATGTCTTTATTGCCTGTTCCAGATTAACACCTTTTAAAAAAAAGTGTGTTGTCATTTAGAATGAAATGTTAAATAAAGGGGATATCATTTAAGACTCTACTAACCAGAAACTCTCAAAGTAAAATTACATCCTTAAGCACTGCAGATATTCGCAGACATAGAATTTCAGCACTAACATTTTTTTTTTTTGCCTGACCTAGCTTGATGTCCTTGGTTTTATTCTAGTCTCAGCTTCCTCCTGCTCACACACCTGTACGCTTGTCTATGACACCCAGTGTGACTACATGATGCAACTTAAGTACAGTGAAAGGTCAGTACTTTTAAAACCATACTACTCATATCCTTAACGGTGCTGTTTTTTTTAAACATGCAGTTGGTTGGACTGTGCAATTCTCTTCATACTTCAGCTGAGATAGCTCTTTTAATTAAAAATTACTGATGAACATTTTAAATACATAAGGCTGCATTTATCTGTACAAATCCACATTTTGTAAATTGAATCAGCCACACCGTATAGTATTAAAGTAAAATGTGAGGCAACTTCCTAGTAAAGAAAATTTTTCCAAGGCACAGTACACAAAAGAACTCCTATAATGGTGGATCAGCCTACCACGTGAAAATTTTAACCTTCTAATGAGACAATGGGACATGTTTTGCTTGTTCTTTGTATTGAGCGATGTAAGGCAGCACAAGAAGCATAACAAAGAAATTCAGGTGTCCCAGGTTCTTCATCATAGTCACAATGAATACTGGTCCCCTACACAAATGAGACATACAAAGCTGTAAAATATAATATGGAAATATAATTTTATTGTGTTAATCTGCATATGTATTGGTACAGCTGTTCTGTGAATGCTTCTGGAGAAAATTTTTCCATAACTCTGACTCTCCCAGCTGCTCCCATTGTGTCCTTTAAGAGAGGATCTCTCACAATTTTTTCCATGGCTTCGGAGAATTGCGTTGGCAGAGGATCACACAAAAATCCTGTAACATTATGCAAGACTGATTCTAAAGGACCACCTGAATTAACTGCTATAATTGGACACCTCATATACATTGCCTCCAGGGGAACAATGCCAAAATGTTCATTCTTTGGTGTATAAAGTACACATACAGAGTTCTTAAAAAGAGAGATTTTCTGTTCATCTGAGAATGATCTCAGAAAAGTGACATGGTCATTAACATGAAGCTTGGCTGCAAGTCTCCTCAGCTCTTCATAGTGCTCCACGTTTTCCAGAACTCGTTTATCATAACCACCTGCCATAACCAGGTGAACTTCATTCCACTCATGAGAATCAAGTCTTCCTCGAAGCTCATGCAAAGCTTCAAGAGCCAATGCTAGATTCTTTTTTCTCTCATACCTATTAATGGAAAGAAACAAGAACTTTTTCTTTTTTGGTATCAGGTCAGCTATGTCCTCGGGAACTACTGTTTCAAAGCTACTGATGTTGAGAGATGGGTAGAGGATATCTGGGTTTATGTCAGATAAGGACTTAAACGTGTCCTTGAACACACCGGCAGTGAACCTGCTGTTCACAACAATACAGTCTGCCATGCCAGTTAGTTGTGTCCTCTCCCAGCCAGTCGAGTGGTGATCTGTAGATGCGCTTTAGGAGAGATTCTCTCTTGGTCAGAAGTTGATCAGGAAAGTGGCAGTAAAACAAAACCTTCTTACGGGTTCTGGCCAGTCTAAGCACAGGAATGCAAGCAGACACCTAGTGCAACCAAGAGAGAAAGGACAAGAGGAGACGCTCGTTATTTGTGCTAGTGCTGCTGGTGCATACGTGTGATTTCAAAGCCATGCCCTGAGAGCCAGTCCTTTGCAAGCCAAGCGCCTTCTCTCTCCCCTCCACAAGCACATCAAACTGTACTCCCTCGTCCAGGATCTCTTGCTGCGGATGTCCACGTCCTCCCTCACCTCGGCCTGTGAGGCTACCAAGGCTCCCTCTCCACCCAGGCCCCATCAAGCTCTGCGACTTCCCCATACACCTCCTCCT